CATAAACAATATATACTATGGAAAAGAGACAAACAACATGCCAAAAAGGGAACAAAAGAGACCAAAACACCTCCCTACCAGCAATTAGAACCTATATGAACATAGATTAACTCTAAGATTAACATCATCAACAATTATCTTAGTTCAGATTCAACCCACAATGAGTATATAATACCCCTTGTTCTACTTTATTAAACTGGGATTATTCCCTTTGTATTTAGAATTAAATATGAATTAAAATGAAGCCTTTAAACATTTAACCAGTTTTACTTTCAATTCAGTCTTTATTTTTATCAAGTTTTACAGAGATGTAGTGAAAAGCTAAAACTTTTTTGTTTTGTTTGCTAAATATTTAAACTATGCAGGGGGGGAAATTGACTTTTTCTCCTTTATTGTGTAGTAGGCTGATTATACATTTTACTACATTATAATATCGATTTAATTGATATAGAATGTTACGCAAGTTAAAAATCTAAACAAAACATATTAAGGGCATGTTATGCTTTGGAGATATTATTTTTAAAATGCTTTTACTTATTTTTATTCCATCTAAATTATTTTGTGAATGTGAGTCTGGTTTTTTTTTGTCTTTCAGATAAACTTAATCATGGATGGACTTTTGCATTATATAAATCCCGCACATGCTATTTCTCTTTTAAGTGCTTTAAATGAACAGCGTCTGAAAGGACAACTTTGTGATGTTGTTCTCATAGTAGGAGATCAAAAATTTCGAGCTCATAAAAATGTTCTAGCTGCCAGCAGTGAATACTTCCAATCTCTATTCGCTAAGAAAGAAAATGAATCTCAGTCAGTATTTCAACTTGATTTCTGTGAACCAGATACCTTTGATAATGTATTAAACTACATTTATTCATCTTCTTTGTTTGTTGAGAAAAACAGTCTGGCTGGTGTGCAAGAGGTAGGCTACAGTCTTGGAATTTCCTTTCTTACTAACATTGTATCTAGAAGTCCTCAAGTTCCTTTGCCTGCATGTCCAATCAAGAAAATACTATTCCAAGAAGATGATGAAAGTGCCTCCCAGAAAAGAAGTGTCATCGTTTGTCAGAGCAAAAATGAAATACAGGGGGGAAAGGTTGGTCAAGCCTCCCATGATATAAGCCATAGTTCTAATATTTTGTCATCAGTTGCTATCAAAACTAAGTGGTCACAACCATCAACTGAATTTCAACACAGCCTATCACTAAATGAAAAGAGGTGGTTGAAAGATAGTTCTTTAAGATACTCAAAGACCCATGAATCTTCAGTTACAATGGATGATCAAAGTAAAATGAAAAGAAATGCAATATTATCACAGAAATCTTTTGTAGAAAAAGAACTGGCAGTTGATAAACTAGAAGAAAGTGATCAACTATTAAGAAGAAAGGCAGAGGAAATATCCTTGAAACAGGTTTGTCCACCCGTTGAATCTGTATGCGGTTCATCAGAAGCCACATTTTTGCTGAAGGAAAGAAACAAAGGAACTAGTTCAGGTGAAGACAGGAATTTACTATACTATTCAAAATTAGGATTAGTAATCCCATCTAGGATAGCTGGTCCTGAAAGCCAAACTACTGACAGGAGTGGACCACTTGTAAAAAGTCTTCTTCGAAGGTCATTGTCAATGGATAGTCAAATTCCTATATCTTCACCTTCTATTGATTTAAAGCTTTCTCAAAGGTCTTCAGTTGGGAACAATGCACAAGGAATAATGTTGAATGTAATATCACAAAAGTCACCCATTAAAGATATTTCAGAAATAGCAGCTTCTGTTGATAAGACACAGATAATGCCTCCACATCGTCTCAGATCCTTCAGTGCTTCTCAATCAACAGACAGGGACATGAATTCTCAAGAAGTACAAATTAAAATGGAACCTAGCAGTCCACTTTCAGATCCATCTGAAATTATAAGAATTACAGTGGGAGATACTTTATCATCTGTCAACAAAAATGACTGTTTTAAGATTGAAGATGACCACAGAGAACTCACTAATTCTCTTAAAGCAGAAGATAGTGAGCTCAATAGACTTCCAGCCAAAAGAAGATTTCAAGCAGACAGAAGGCTACCACTCAAAAAAATGAAGGTAGCTCAACATATTTCCACAGAGTCAGAGGACAATTTTGAAGAGAATTTGAATCCTGTACCCTTTGTTGATTTTCCAGATTCTGATGTTAGCAGAGATGAATGTGGTGAATTGGAGGAAACAAAGCCTAACAAAAAATTTAAGTGCAAACACTGTCTTAAGATTTTCCGGTCAACAGCAGGCCTACATCGTCATGTCAATATGTACCACAATCCAGAGAAACCATATGCTTGTGATATTTGTCATAAGAGATTTCACACAAACTTCAAAGTTTGGACCCATTGCCAGACACAACATGGAATTGTAAAGAACCCCTCGCCTGCTTCTAGTTCACATGCTGTCTTAGATGAAAAATTCCAGAGGAAATTAATTGACATTGTAAGAGAACGGGAAATTAAAAAGGCTTTGATTGTTAAATTAAGACGTGGAAAACCAGGGTTTCAGGGACAAGCTAGTTCACAAGTTCAACAAGTCATCAAGAGGAACCTTAGGTCAAGAAATAGAGGAGCTTACATTTGTACCTATTGTGGGAAAGCATATCGCTTTTTGTCACAGTTTAAACAGCATATAAAAATGCACCCAGGAGAAAAACTGGTTGGAGGAAATAAAACTCTTATTAAACCAAAAGAAGATAGTCGCATTGAAAACTCAGTGGAAAACAAAAAAGTTTATCAGTGTCGTATTTGTAATGCTAAACTTTCGTCTCTTACTGAACAAGGAAATCATGAGCGGCTGTGCCGGAAAGCAACAGTTTGTGCTTACTGCAGTCTTCTGTTTTCTTCTCCAGAACTGAAGCATGACCATGAAGTCACATGTGAATATAAGAAGCTCACTTGCTTGGAGTGTATGCGAACTTTTAAATCCTCCTTCAGTATTTGGCGCCATCAAGTTGAGGTTCACAATCAAAATACTATGGCTCCAACAGAGAATTTTTCTTTACCAGTTTTGGAGCACAATGGTGAAGTAAGTAATGCTTCAAAACCACATTATCAAGCAGAGCCTAACAAAATTGGCAGCTTTCTTGCAGCTAAAGAAGATGGTGTGTTTAGTGATTCCTCAGAGCAAATCAATTTTGATTCAGAAGATTCCTCATGCCTTCCTGAAGACCTTAGTGTTTCGAAACAGCTGAAAGTTCAAATCAAAGAAGAACCTATGGATGATGTAGAAGAGGAGATATCTGAAAGCAGCCGGGAACCAAAGGAAGGCATTGCTAATAAGGAGACTGGTTTGTGGCCCTGCGAAAAGTGCGGAAAAATTTTCACTGTACACAAGCAGCTAGAGCGTCATCAAGAGCTTTTATGCTCAGTGAAACCCTTTATTTGCCATGTGTGTAATAAGGCTTTTCGAACCAATTTCCGACTATGGAGTCATTTCCAGTCCCATATGGCACAAGCTTCGGAAGAACCTTTGCGAAAAGAACCTGAGATGTGCTCTTCTGCTAATTCTCCTTCACCACCACCTTTGCCTCCACCCCCTCCGCTACCCAAAATACAGCCTTTAGAACCTGATAGTCCTACAAGCCTGTCAGAAACCCCTTCAGGTAGTGAGAAGTTATTTGTCCCACAGAAGTCTGACACACTTTTTTATCATGCTCCACCATTGTCAGCTATCACATTCAAAAGACAGTATATGTGCAAACTTTGCCATAGGACATTCAAAACTGCATTTAGTCTTTGGAGCCATGAACAGACACACAATTAAAGAAAAAAGTTTGAAAAGAGTGCCTACAGATAATTTCAAATATCTGTTTAATTTCTGTGATGTTTCTGAAATTGTATCACTGAAAGTAGAATATATATATATTACGGCATACACATGCAAAGGGGAAAAATCCTCTCAAAATTAAACTTGAAATTTGTGATGCTGTGTTTTGGATATAGAAATGAAAGTAAACTAAATTTATCCTTACTAGAGAAAATTGTGCAAACCTTTTGATATTGTGATTTCAGATTTCCTAGTTATAGAATATTTGCATTCATTAAATCTGAGTATATATTTCTCATAATGTTATACTGGTAAACATGGATATATGTAAAAAGAATCAGTGACTTAAGTATTTAGAGTACAGCAAAATTTCATGCTAGTTGTTTTTACAGAAAATAACTCATGAGCTCCATATATTAGACATTCATTTGATGTTAAGGGAAGAAGTGGATTGAGTGCTTCGCTGGGTTGGCCTTGGTCCTGTTGAACATTAGCAATAATGAATAAAACCTCAATTGAATTAACTTGACCCTTATTGAAAAAGGTTGCTTATCATGGAATAATTTCATGACTGGAATTTTCTGAATGAATATTGTACAAGATGTACGGTAATCAAAGATTAGCAATATGTGAGCATTTGGATTTTTATACATAGAGAAGTAGTCCTCAACTTATGATCATAATTGAACCCCAAATTTCTGTTGCTAAATGAAACATTTGTTAAGTGAATTTTGCCCCATTTTACAACCTTTCTTACCACAGTTGTTAAGCGAATCACTGCAGCTATAAAGTTAGTGACATCGTTCTTAAGTGAAACTGGCTTCCCCATTCACATAGCTTGTAATACAATTACAAAAGATGATCACATGACCTCAGGATACTGCAGCCATCATAAATATGAATCATTTGCCAAGCATCTGAATTTTGATCACATGATCATGGGGAATGCTGCAAGAGTTGTAAATGTGAAAAACGGTTATAAGTCACTTATTTTCAATACTGCTGTAACTCTGAATGGTAATTAAATGAACTACCTGTACAGTAGGTGTGAACCTTTCTTTTGCTGCCTTAAAAAAGATTCTTAATGTTGGAATACAATACAGTGCTTATCTGATCCTCAGAGGCTGATAGCCTTATATTTTAATACACAGAATTAATGTAAGAAGAAGAAGCAAATTTATATTCCAATACAAACTATTTCATTTTTGAATGAAATAGCATTTAATAGATATTATAAATTAAATTATTTGCTTCTGATCCATTTTGGTGCTTATGTTTCATTATAGTGAAAAGTATGAATATGAACATTTTAAAAATGAGAAAATTCATTTCCATTACTGGGCAATAGAAGGCCCAGCCAAGGCTGCAAAAAATTGTTTGGGAAAAAAATTCAAATGTAAATAATTATGTATGTATAAATGAAAAATGAATAGAAAATTTATTTTAACTATGCTTAGGTGAAAATGCAGGAGGAAATGCCACACCCAAAAGCAATGTATTTCACAAATGAAAATCCACAATGAACTTTTCTATCCAGTATCCTACTTTTAGCACTTTTTTGTTTTATTCATTTAAGATTAAAGTGATTAAAATATTGAGCCATAATCTAATGCAATTTTAAGCCCACTGATTTTCCTTGGCCAAAATGCTGTGTACATTAAGTGATATTCAAAATAGTGTTTTCAAATGTTGTGTGCTCTTCAATTTCATAATTCCCTATCAAATATGGCCAGTTTAGAAACTTTTCAAGCAATCAATTTCAATGTGTGTTTTATATATTTATTCACATAGACACCTGCACTCATGCACATGTACAGTTGCAGCATCTATAAACAACTTTCCCAAACATGCATGTGTACTCATCAATTGTAATGCAACATCCTTACATAAGAATTCTTGTTCATTGATTTCTTCTTTTGGTATAATGCAATCATTGTAGTAGACAAGTTTCATATATATGCAGTCCTACAATTAAAATGGACTGAGACAGTGGGATGATGAGTTGTAGCATCCATATATGCCTAAATAGAATACAGTAGCCTGCCAAGCAATTGGACTTCTATTTCCTGCTCAAAAATTAACATTTAACCCTGGTTTATTTTAAGTTTGACCTAGTGTCCATATATTAGAATGAATGATAAGAATGTTGTAGATGCATCAAGTAACATTTTAGATTGTGATATAAGAATTTTTTTTTGGAGCTAGAGTAATTGCAAGATTCATTTATGCTATTTAAAAACATAAAGGGAAACTTGTTGGATTTCTAGAAGAAAAAAGAATAGAACACTAATACTGGACTCTAATAGAAATGAAATATGAGCAGTAAATAAAATATCATTGTCAGTCACGTTATTAGAGCAACTTAAAATATTTTTTAAAATTAAAAATAAAATCTATAAAATACATGTGATCTAGTGAGCTCCACTTAATGTTTATTGGGGTTTAAACATTTTATTTTCGATAGTCGGCTGATCAGAAGTTGCTGTAGAAAATATGGTTGTCAAATCACTTTTTGATCAAAAATAGTAAATTCTTGAATGTCCATGATCCAAATATTGTAAACAAGGTAAGAAAGGCAGAAATAAGTTTTACAAGAAAGCTGTATAGCAAACATTGAGGCCCTTGCATCCAGCTTCTGGTCAAATCACACTTTATTGTGGGAATTGTAGGATATTTCTGGGCATCAACAGTTGCTTGGAGGAGTTACTACATTATTTCTATTGATATCCTTTTGTGCCACTTGTCTATGCTGATGATTGAGAAGTCTAACCAGGTTTTCATGGTACATTATCCATACTTAAATGAACTGAGTTCCCAAGATCATATGATTTAGGTTCTCTCACCATATTGGGCTACAATGTAGTTAGTGAGTGGATCAGAGAAAGGCATTTGCAAAACATGCTATTACAAAAAAGTTATATGATTATATCCATCTGGCCAATAAATTCTCCCCAAGATAATTACTCTTCAATGAATAGTGTATTGTGAGAAGAAAGTTTTTGTGAATGCTAACTCTAATATGATGGACCATTTTTCTCAACCAAAGGCCATTCTTGACCTTTCAGTGGCATGATATAGGGTAAATTCCATGAAATAGTTGAGGTCTGAGGGTGGGGGTGGGGACTAGATTTATATTTAATTATATTAAATGCATTGAAATTATTATTATACGGGCATTTTTTACTATTTTCATACAAATCAATTTCCTTTTGCCCTGCTGTCATATGAATTACAATTTAACAAAATAATTTGAATACAGTAATTTTTGGGGTCTGCATACAAGGCTTTCAAACACCATTTGAACTGGGCTCTCAGGTTGTGAACCTGTTTAATAAAGCTCTATCAGAAATATTTCTTCAGAACCAATCTTTATATTATTAAAGAAATTTAGAACTAATTGTGGTCAGAATTACAATTTTGAGCATGCTTTTGTGTATTCTTTTTTTTTAAAGGGAAACATCTGACTTTAATTTCCTCAAGCTATAAGAAAAAAGCAATAACTTTACAGGAAGTTTACAAATAAGTTATCTTCTTATTCCAACACTAAAACATGTATTTTATTTTTATTTTGAAAATATAAATGAATGTATAAAAAGCTAATATCTCTAGAACAAGGTTCATACACATACAGTTCAGTGGTGCCCGGCGGCATCCACACAGACATGTGCACATGCATCTTAGCACCTCTGTAAGTCTCCGCGACGCTCCAGATGCTCAGCGGAGCGTCGCACAGGTGCTGTACGCTCCATGCACATGTGCGGAAGCACCGAAGATTTAAAATACCGGTAAGGAGCTCGGGTGGGTGGGTAGGCCCTCTGGAGCACTGTACTGGAACGGTATCCGGTGCTCCAGGCATACTCAGGTATGCCCTATACACAAATTTGCTCATTCCCATTACCACAGCATTTAGCTTGATTTCTTTTAAACTGTGCACAACGCTTCTGAATCATACTTAAACCAGTAACACAAAGGTTGACTTTTATAGATTAGAATTCTCATTTCTTTCAGCCACTTAACTATATTTTATTTTAGTAGGGCTTGTGTTAGAAAGTCTCCAACTATTGAATGTCTACTATCAATTCTACCAAAAATGCTCTCCCCACCATGAAGTCTAGATTTAGTAGAAACTCTTCTACTAAGCCTTATTTAATAAATATATATATTGCTTCAGAGGTGGGTTCCTACCAGTTCGCACCGGTTCGGTAGAACCGGTTCGTCAAATCTTATCAAACCAGTTAGAAGAGGTTCCACCAGTGGACCTGGAAAGCAGGCCACACCTGCAGAAGAGGTTCCAAAAATTTTTGAAACCTACCACTGACACACACACACACACAGACTCAAACAGAGAAAGAGAAGAAAGAAAAAAAGAAAAAGAAAAAGAGATGAAAGGAAAAAGGGACAGAGAGAGAAAAGGAAGGAGAGAAAGAGAGAGAGAGAGAACACATGGCCAGCAAGCCACTCCCACAAAGGAGGCCATACCCACAGATTTGGTTTCGAAATGTTTTTGAAACCCACCACTGTATTGCTTGTAATAAAAGAAATATCAAAATACATTTTATTTACAATAATATAAGTATTTTTTGTATTATACAAACAATATAGGCATTGATTTATTGCTCAGATATACATTCTATTAAATATAGTTCATACATTCTAATTTAGAACATAACATGAGATAAAGATTCAAAATTAAAAATATCACAATATGCATATTATGATATATAACTACTATTTTAGCTATATGTATTTAGTTTAATTACTATTTGCAAATTCATACCATATTTGCAAAAATGACATTTGAAATTAAAGTTCATTAAATAATTGGAATTCTACCCTAGCAAAGATTTATCATTATCTACATATGAATGTAGATTCTAAACAATAAAATTTTAATATTTTATTTAAAATGAGTGCTATACTATAAACCCTGTTCATAAATTAATCTTTCTAAAAAGGTATGAAATAAGAAAATTCTAAAAGGAATCATTCTAAATTTGCATGCCTAAGTAGCAAATACATATGAACAGTGTAGCATTTTAACAAAAAACTTGTTTTTGTTTTTGTAAAGTGGAATGGATAACAGCCCAAGTGGTTCAGAAACATCTTCAGTTATTTAACTGTGGATACTGGTTACTCTAAGAAGCATTTGGTTTAGTGAAAGGTATCTTTTTATCATCTTCCAATAATTGCTTATTGAAAATCATATCCTATTTTTAAAGATGCATCTGCTTCTTCCATCTTTCCTAATTAGGGCAGCAATGTTCAAGTTTTTGTAGGGAAAAGCACTGCTGCCTCTGGCAC